TTCTTCGCCAAATCTTCGCACTATCACTAGCGATATGACTATGCTATGTAGCACCCTGCTAGCTACACACTGCGAGAGGCCAAATACTATGATCTAGCCTCTATACTCCTTCAATGTCCCGAGAAATTGACGAATTTCCGCGGACCTCACTAATCGCGTGTCTCCTACAGACTCCCGCGGCGTTGGTGTGTGTGTGTGTGTGTGTGTGTGTGTGTGCGCGGTGTGTGTGTGTGTGTGTGTTGTGTGTGTGTGTGTGTGTGTGTGTGTGTGTGGTTGTGTGTGTGTGTGTGTGTGTGTGGGTGCGTGTGTGTGCGTGTGTGTGCGTGTGTGTGTGTGTGTGTGTGTGTGTGTGTGTGTGTGTGTGTGTGTGTGTGTGTGTGTGTGTGTGTGTGTGTGTACACCCAATTATACACGCCTAAGTGTGCCTGCAGAGGATGGATTTCCGATTTGTGGTAAAGCCTCTCAGCCTCAAATCGACTGATGTACAGCTTATCGCATCACTTGTGCTTAGTCATATCTACATTGGAAGTTGTATATGGCGTCTGCCTCTTCATCTTATCTTATTAAGGCATTGCGTCTGTTCACTAGACGGTGAATGAAATAAATTGACCTAATGATTCTATGGCTCATCTGGGGCCCCTTGTTCGTGTAACATTGATTTCAAAGTCTGTTCTCTCTATTATGGTGAGTTAATATATATATGGTGATCATGTGTTCTCTCTTCGAGTGAAATGAGGCTTAACGCTTTAAGACTATCTTTGTAAGTCATACTTCGCAGCCCTGGGTGGAGTACCTCTTTACTTTCTCCAACGTCGTTTTGTGTGTGTGTGTGACTAGATAAGGAGTCCATGTTGGTGCTGCATGTTCAAAAACTGGTCTGACGTATGTGGTATACGAGATCCTGAAGGAATCCGTATTCAGGTTGGCTAACCTTGCATATACAGCTGATGGTATCCGGTTGATGTGAGGATTCGAGAAACAGGTTCGGTACCCCTGGGGTAGCCTTCTGGTCCAGCTTGGCCACCTTGAGACCTCTCTCCTCACTATGACTGTCATCTGTCGCTCAGGTATTTCCTTATCCACTGGAGCACCTTCCCTGTCACTTTACCCGTCTCTCCAGCTCTTGCACAGTACATAAAATATATACAGACTCTCTTCCCTTCTCTCTCTTGTCTGATTTATGACGCACGGCCAGAAAATTCTTTCAAATTTGCGAGACAAGATTTGCCATCCCCGGTCCCATGCTGGTATTGCCATATGCTCCTATTTCTAGTTCTACTCGCTGGCCTTTCATTTTTTTGGGCATTTCGCATGATCTTGCAGGTAAGGGGAAACTGTCTTGTATCTTAGTGAAACATGTCTTTCTCATTTTATATGGTTTTGTCACTACAATGGCTGTAATTCGCCGGTTTCCAATGGCTTGCTAACCGACCGTGTCTCAGTATCTATGGTTAGATCCTGTTTACCTTTGTTGTGTCCAGCTGCAAGAGGCGGCTCCTTATGTCATCTCCAAGTCCTCCAGCTTGACGCTATCCTCCTCACAGCTGCCACTTTTCCTTCCCCTTCTGTAAAGACCCGGAATCTCCTGTCGAGTTACTAACTCCTTTACCTGTCATTCTCTGTGAATGTGTCCGTCCCTCTACTCACTTTCATCACCGGTTGCCCTTTTTTATCATTTTTTTCCTCCTGGTGAAGGGAAAGGGAATTATCAGGAGAAAGCGCCAAGCCATTGCGGCTATATAGCCCTCGGAAGGACTCAGGATAAGGATTTGGGATGGGACGGGAGGAAGGAATGGTGCCCAACCACTTGGACGGTCGGGGATTAAACGCCGATCTGCATGAAGCGAGACGATCGCTGTACCGTCCAGCCCAAGTAATTGTCAATAAATAATGAACTTAAATCGTCGAAGATTTGAACTGTGGGCCAGTGTGTACGAGCCCATCGCTCTACCAACTGAGCCGCGACGCCCACAAAGAAGACAATATTACATTGGGCGGAACTCTGGACTGGAAGACTGCCGAGGACGCGCCCACATCTGGCCTACGACCTGGTGAGGGTCCGGAGTATCTTGTGTTCGATCTTTGGCTTCATCTGCTACGTTGTTCTGTGGAGGGAACTGTTACTACCATCCTGGGTGCAGCCGTGGCTATGGTGGAGACTGATGCGACACACACACTCGCACAGGAAGGTGGCAGCGGAACAGTATCTTGGAGCGTCTTAAGAATGTTCAACGTCACGAGAGTGTGGATGCTTGCCTACCTGGCACTCTTCCTCGACCAGTGATTCAAGCGACACTGAATGTGAGGAATGTGGTGGTGTTCCTCCTACCTGTGGCTGGGTATGTGCATGTCCCTGCATGCCTGTTTGTCTAACTCCCGTCTTTCCGTAACGCTAAAATAAGACTCAGGTCCCTAAAAAGACTACTACTACCTACTTACTTACTCGACTCCTCCTTCTCCTTCTCCTGTTTTTCCAGCTTGCTGCAGAATCACGACAATGACGGGCAGGAGTAATCTCGGCGGGGTAGTTATGGTCTAAGTCCACACGGAGTAAATGCCATAGTCAGATTTAATGCACAAAGCAGGATTAAAATATTCTAGGATTCTCTCTAACACACACACACACACACACACACACACACACACACACACACACACACACACACAACACACACACACACACACACACACACACCACACACACACAGGCCTCGTAGCCTGGTGGATAGCGCGCAGGACTCGTAATTCTGTGGCGCGGGTTCAATTCCCGCACGAGGCAGAAACAAATGGGCAAAGTTTCTTTCACCCTAAGTGCCCCTGTTACCTAGCAGTAAATAGGTACCTGGGAGTTAGTCAGCTGTCACGGGCTGCTTCCTGGGGTGTGTGTGTGGTGTGGAAAAAAAAAAAAAGTAGTTAGTAAACAGTTGATTGACAGTTGAGAGGCGGGCCGAAAGAGCAAAGCTCAACCCCCGTAAAAACACAACTAGTAAAACACACACACACACACACACACAAAGCTCAACCCCCGCAAATAAAACTAGGTGAACACACACACACACGTGTGTGTGTCTGTGCGTGCGTGCACTGCAGTTCCATGCAAATCAATGCCAATAGTTTCCAAGATGGATGCCAAGGGTCTCGCCCCATACCCTAATACTGCTGGTTGATGAAGCTGGCGGGGTCAGGGGTCAGGTTTACCAAGTCACTGGGAGTGACAGGAACGGTGTGTGTGAGGGTGCCGGCACCAGCCTGGCCTCATCTTCCCGGTGTTTACCTCACAACTTCCCTCACTCAAGATGAGAAATATTGTTGTCGTGACGGAGCTCCGCCTCGGGAATTTGAGTGTAAATACACTTCTTTTTTTTTTAGCGTAAATAAGGTTTTAAATTGAAGAAATTATTTGCTAGAATTTTTTTCTTTTTAAGATTTGAATTGAGATTCCTGGAATGAGCATCGCGAAAGATGTATAAAATGTTGTTGAATTTCTGTGTGCGTCTGATTGTTTGTGCATCGTGTGTCTGCGTATTTGCGCTTTATGCGTCTGAGTATGCGTCATGCGTCTGAGTGTGTGCGCGTCGTGCGTCAAAAGTTTGCCGATATATTTAGCGCACGACTTGCAAGAGATGGATGGATAAATCTTGACGCTAAACAAAGGAACCGAAACAATCATTTATCAAGGAACCATTTTGGTTATTTGCGCTCATCTCGTGGCTATTGATCTATTGATCTATTAGGATGTTCGACACCTGTCTAACTCACGTCTGATCACACCTGTTGAAAGAGACACGTCACCGGTTCATGAGCTAAGATGAATTAGAAGGAAAAACGAGACGTTCGAAGAACTTGTTATGTCAGTTTAGACCTTAGTTGCTTGGAAGGTCAGCTTAGATCCTCCACACAACGAAACTGTGACGTTGCTACAACGTTCGGACAAGTTTTAACACCTAACAAGTTGTAACAACGTTCTAATGCGTCATAAAAACGTTATAACAAGATGTAAAAATTTTATTACACAGTTGTAACAAGCATAAAATAAGGAGAGTTACGTTGTGGTGTTCATAGGGCGCCTCGTCTGACACTTTTCTTCGCCTTCAGTAAAGTTGAGATACGTTAATGTCAACTTATATATATATATATATATATATATATATATATATATATATATATATATATATATATAATGTTAATATCAAGTTGAGTGTTACTGTGATGGTTGGGAAGTGAGCGCGAGTAGGCACCTTCAAGAGAGCACCGAGCTCTTAACAAGACTCACAACACCCAGAGAGGCTCCGGACTCACAAACACACCCACATACAAACACTCTGCTTCAAGCTAAAGTGGCACTTTGCAGTCACTCGCTCACACGCACTCTCACTCTGGACTCACCAGCAAGTGAGTACTCTCCCCCCCCCCCCTCCCCCAAGCCTGGCTGTCTGGCGTCATAAGTTCGGCTTCCCGGCAACTGGTAATCAAAACCTGATTCCTTACCAGCCTTTCTTATCTCTTATCTCCTGCAAATCTATACTCTCACGGCTATTCTCGTTTATCATCCATAGCTCGTTGTGTTGAGGGTTGATTCCCGCCTCTCCAGGCTCACTGTTGCCGTGAGCAGTGGCTGGCAATGGCCGACTAAGCATCCATACTTGACGACTCACGCACCAGTGACAGGCTGCAGAAAACGTCGAAAGAGAGTCTGCAGGAGCAGCAATAATGCCACACTCGAGGAAGGGTCGACGGAGGGGCTGATGTATGTAGCGATCACATCGTTGGAAAGGCCAAAAATCCGGAGCTGGAGTAGAGGGTAAACGGGAGTGAGTTTTTTGTGGTGAGTGTGAGTGAATTAAAGGGCGGGAAATGACCGTGCTTGTCTCTGGAGCACACTAGAGGGAGGGGCGACACCCCCACGCCTCCACCCTCGTCGCCTCCTTCGGCGCCGCACCGGCGGCAAACACCGCCCTAACCCACACTCAGCTGGGTTATCTCAAGCCGCATCTCTCGTGATGTCGCAGCCGTTCCACTACTGCGCCGCCGAAAGACCGCTTGCGGCTGTGGGAGGGGAAGTAGCGTGCGGCAGGGCTCCCTGCGCCGGCCGGCCGCCAGCGGCAGCCGCAGGCGACACCCACGCCGGCCACAGACAATTACACGACCAGAGCGGGACCACTCATGTCTCCAGTAACGACTTACACAACCCCTTAAACCCCGAACTGGTTATTTTGGCGGCCGGCGACACCTCCTCCTCCTCACGACCCTCCACGACGACCCTCCACGACGACCCTCCACGACGTCCCTCCACGACGACCCTCCACGACGACCCTCCACGACGTCCCTCCACGACGACCCTCCACGACGTCCCTCCACGACGACCCTCCACGACGACCCTCCACGACGACCCTCCACGACGTCCCTCCACGACGACCCTCCACGACGTCCCTCCACGACGACCCTCCACGACGACCCTCCACGACGACCCTCCACGACGTCCCTCCACGACGACCCTCCACGACGTCCCTCCACGACGACCCTCCACGACGACTCTCTCGGCGGCGAACCAGCACCAGTTGGCGCCAGAAAGCCGTAACCAGCTGTGAAAACTGGAAGACATAATGTCCTTGGCACCAGAGACGCCCCGCCCGCCTCAGGATGGAACACCTGCCTACACCCACCTTCACAACCTTCACAACCTCAGTCACCATCCCTCACAACCACAACTCTCCTCACAACAACAATTTTCCTCACAACCGTTGCTCTCTAAACTAGGGCAAGGTACAACCATTAAAATTAACTTCTATTTCTTCTGGTCGGTAAGTGGATGGGTGTCCGCCGCCCGACAAGGTATACAGTTATCATTACCATCATCATTATTATTATTATTGAGAAAATCCGTAGAAGCCGTGGTGAGGGTTCGAACCTAAGCGGTGGGCGTTCAACACGCACACACCCTAGTGAATCTTTGATGATGAGGAGTGTGTGTGTGTGTGTGTGTGTGTGTGTGTGTGTGTGTGTGTGTGTGTGTGTGTGTGTGTGTGTGTGTGTGTGTGTGTGTGTGTGGTGTGTGTGAGCATATTCTTGTTGACGGGAAGAGAGTATTGAATGGAAGCAGTAGTCACGTGGGTGAGAGGGGGGAGGGTAGTGGTGAGGGAGAGAGGAGGCACTGACCTCCCCGGGCAGCAGGCTACATGCCCGCGGCAGGCTACACGAGCTCCCCGGGCAGCAGGCTACATGCCCGCGGCAGGCTACACGAGCTCCCCGGGCAGCAGGCTACATGCCCGCGGCAGGCTACACGAGCTCCCGGGCAGCAGGCTACATGCCCGCGGCAGGCTACACGAGCTCCCCGGGCAGCAGGCTACATGCCCGCGGCAGGCTACACGAGCTCCCCGGGCAGCAGGCTACATGCCCGCGGCAGGCTACACGAGCTCCCCGGGCAGCAGGCTACATGCCCGCGGCAGGCTACACGAGCTCCCCGGGCAGCAAGCTACATGCCCGCGGCAGGCTACACGAGCTCCCCGGGCAGCAGGCTACATGCCCGCGGCAGGCTACACGAGCTCCCCGGGCAGCAGGCTACATGCCCGCGGCAGGCTACACGAGGACATGCTACACATGCCCTGACCTGTAGCACCACTGATGATGGTGTGGCAAGGAGTGCCACTTGGTTCTGGGAACTGACTCCTCGCGTGGGCTGCTTGCTTTGTCACCTGAGTACACAGAGGTGACAGGCAGTCACCCCCCCCCCTATCCCTTCTGACCCACATATCCGACGCCCACCTATCCCTTCTGACCCACATATCCGACGCCCACATAACCCTTCTCACCTCCCATGCACATATTTCCAGCTCATGTAAGCGCTAATCTTCCAGGCACCTCAGGTTTCCTTAAATCTACACTTCTCCAAGAAATAATAAGACATCCCATTACTTGTGGGGGAAACTTACTAAAAAATAGGTCTTTTGTAGAGTTCTTCAGTTGTCCTCAAAACGTGATCTACATTTGTCTTAAATGTTAATATCTTTTGAGGTTTGCAAGGCCAGCAAGGAAAGGAGGAGGAGGAGAAAGCTCTATGGGATTCGAGTACAGGATAGGAGCTGGGATAGAAGGATGGAATGAAGAAACTTGGATCATCGTGGATCGAATGCTAATCTTGCAAGAAGCGAAGCCATCGTTGCACGGATCCGACCAAGGAGACGGACCTCAAGATATCCAAGGTACGCCATAATTAACAATGCTTCATGCATGATCTAACAATCTTGTTGTGACAAATACACTTGTAAACATATAGAAGTAATAATGAACTTTTGTTGGTTTCCTTACATGTTTCCGTTACCCTTAATGGGGTGTTTAGTGCATCCTGAGTGATGTGTGAGGCTAGTCAACTATGGTGACTATTAGTGTGCACTTGTGTTGTCATTGATAAGCTCTTGAGGCATGATAGTTACCGCAGGTGTCTCCTTGAGGCATGATAGCTACCTCAGGTGTCTCCTTGAAGCATGATAGTTACCTCAGGTGCCTCCTTAATGTTAGTTACCTCAGATTGTCTATAATATATGCTAGTTATCCGGGTTATGTTCCCAAGGTACGACATATGTACCATGTGTGTACTCACCTAGTTGTTAAGGTTGAGCTCTGGCTCTTTGATCCCTGTGTGTGTGTGTGTGTGTGTGTGTGTGTGTGTGTGTGTGTGTGTGTGTGTGTGTGTGTGTGTGTGTGTGTGTGTGTGTGTGTGTGTGTGTATCATCAATGGCAGCAAACTGCCCAGAGTGATCTTCATACAATCCTTAAGTCACGTATCTACAGCTCCCATCACCTGGATATTATCTATCACAACAGGTAGGTCAACTATCGTCGATTAAGGTAAGCATTATACCCAGATATCAGGTAAACAGATTCTAAGCGTATTTTAACTGTAGATTTAATGAATTCTTTTGCAGAAATACAATCGTGACTTCCTCAATAACTCGGGAAATTGCAGCCAAAACTGCTTTGCCATTGTGGCTGCCACAAGACAGGGGGTGAAGGAGCGTGACTGTCTCTCCCTCCGTCTAAATGGTACCGAAAAAAAAGGTTTCATGACGACTGACATTTTATGCGTCCTAATGAAGAAAACAGCGTTGGAGGTCAACTGGATGTAGTCTAATTCTGGTAATGTAATAAAGGAACGAGTTTCCGGTCACGTCTTGAGCATTATACACCGGGGGGACCAGTTTCCGGTCACGTCTTGAGCATTATACACCAGGGGGACCAGTTTCCGGTCACGTCTTGAGCATTATTTACCAGGGGGACCAGTTTCCGGTCACGTCTTGAGCATTATACACCAGTGGGACCAGTTTCCGGTCACGTCTTGAGCATTATACACCAGGGGGACCAGTTTCCGGTCACGTCTTGAGCATTATTTACCAGGGGGACCAGTTTCCGGTCACGTCTTGAGTCTTATACACCAGGGGGGACCAGTTTCCAGTCACGTCTTGAGTATTATACACCGGCGGGACCAGCTTCAGGTCACGTCTTGAGTCTTATACACCGGGGGGACCAGTTTCCGGTCACGTCTTGAGTATTATACACCGGGGGAACCAGTTTCCGGTCACGTCTTGAGTCTTATACACCGGGGGGACCAGTTTCCGGTCACGTCTTGAGTATTATACACCGGGGGACCAGCTTCCGGTCACGTCTCGAGTATTATACACCGGGGGACCAGTTTCCGGTCAAGTCTCGAGTATTATACACCGGGAGGACCATTTCCGGTCACGTCTTGAGTATTATACACCGGGGAAACAGTTTCCGGTCACGTCTTGAGTCTTATACACCGGGGGACCAGTTTCCGGTAACGTCTCGAGTATTATACACCGGGGGACCAGTTTCCGGTCACGTCTTGAGTATTATACACCGGGGGGACCAGTTTCCGGTCACGTCTTGAGTATTATACACCGGGGGGACCAGTTTCCGGTCACGTCTTGAGTCTTATACACCGGAGGGACCAGTTTCCGGTCACGTCTTGAGTATTATACACCGGGGGGACCAGCTTCCGGTCACGTCTCGAGTATTATACACCGGGGGGACCAGTTTCCGGTCACGTCTTGAGTATTATACACCGGGGGGACCAGTTTCCGGTCACGTCTTGAGTCTTATACACCAGGGGGGCCAGTTTCCGGTCACGTCTTGAGTATTATACACCAGGGGACCAGCTTCAGGTCACGTCTCATGAGCCTGACACTGAAGGGCTAACTTCCTGGCACAGAGCGATAAGAACTTCACAGCGGGCAAGGTATACCAACTTGTATCAGACACAGGCATGATCTTCACAACGGAAGTGTTGGCAACTTCCTCTCATGTAACAATATGAACTTTCCTCCAGGAGGTTGGGTAGCTTCCTAGTCACGA